GCGCCCTTGCAGCCCGCGCCCGGCCTGATGCGGCGCAGGCACTCGGTCCTCTCGTCGAATGACTCGCAGTTGGGCACCCGGCCCGAGGACGGCTGCACTGCGGGGCAGCGCGGTGAAATTCACCTCGCGCGGCGCCCCACCTTGCTCATGCATATCGGCATACGTCGCGCCCTGCAGGATTGCCTTCTCGACGTCCACGGCGACGCAGACCCGGCCCGGGCGACGCGCCGCCTCCGAGGACAGCACGCGCGGCGAGGCACGCTCGGCTATCCCCGCGGACGTCTCGAGGGCGCCGGCGCCCATGCCGCATACCTCGGAGCGCCGCGCGGGACCGGTTGACCCACGCAGTCTCGCCGTCGGAACCATTCCAACATTTCAACTTGAAGACGCGCTTGGAGTCCGCGACGCCGCGCGGGCCCTGGAGTGGTCGCCGTTCGAAACACCTGTACTTGACCCAGATGGTGAGCTCCTCGAAGATGGCTGCGGACACCTCCTCGGACAGCCCAGAATCCCCCCCCTCGGTCAGGAGATCGGCGCCGCGCTCGATGACCTCGGTCTGGACGGCGGCGCAAGCGTCGAGCAAGGCTGCACAGGAATCGGCGGTAACGCACTTGCCAGACGCTTCCGCGCTGAAACCCAAGAGTGCTTCGCGCGCCCCAGGGTCGAGGCACACTCCACGCGGCTTCCTCTTTCGCCCAGATCTCTGGCGCGGCGTGGTCGCCCAGGGCGGCGCCGCGCAGGCAGTAGTGGCACTGCGCCTAGATGCCTCGACGCTGGCACTGCGTCTCGAGGCGCTGGGGCCACTCACGTGACCAGCGGCCAAGACTGGCCGCAGCGTGCTCGCCAGCAGCGTAAATCATCTGCTGGCTATCGTCGCTGTCCAGCGCTTCCAACTCACGAGTTCGGTCTGCTGCCTCTTCGACCTCATGCCACGCTGCCGACACCGCCTGCTGGATGCGGCCGGAGAAGTCGCCGCCGGCCACCTCTCAGTGGCACTGGCAGCGTCCTCAGAGGCGTCGATGGAAGAGTCATCGCACGCCCAATCTGGATCCTGTCAAGCGTCTGCTGCCGTAGGCGTCTCGTCACCCAAGATGAATTGAATGATGCGAGCGCCCGTCCACGGCTCGCCGACGAGCGCGCGGGGGTCGAACTTGACGCAGACTGAAGGAATCCGCCGATTGTCACCTAGACTCCAAGGGCACCACTAGACGACTAGGCTGCGGGCGCAGCACGGCCACTCTCCCACAGACTTCTGGCCAGGCAGTTGACGCGCGGCACGAACGTCTGGTAGCTGAAAAACTGCGGGGCACATGGCAAGGAGCTTCGAGGATGCGTGGGCACTGCCGAGTCTGCGCGGTCAGCAGCGCGCCTCTCACGCCCTCCCAATGGCCGAAGGCCTCGGTGCCGGAACCCGGCACGACGCGCTCCACGAAGTGCCCAACTCGGCCCCAAGACAGGCCAGCCCCAGCCCGGCCTGTGCCCGCGTCGTCGAAAACGGCACCGATGAAGGGCCAGACGTCCTGCTATCTGCAGATCACGTCGGCTCGACGGTACGTCACCGCCACCTTGCCTCGGGCTGGATCGACAGACGCGACGACCCCAGGGCCTGGCCCGCCTGATACGTCCTCTGTGCTCGGAGGCCCGTGGACCCCAACCTGGTCGCCAACGTTGAAGCGGCCCTCTCCAGACACGACGGCGCGTGTCCGGAGGGCGCGGTGGACGCAGGAGAGGGGCGCAGCCTCAATCACGCGCTGAAATGCGATCTCTCGGACTCGCCACTGGAATCGGCCCGGCTGCACTCCTCCGCCAGCAGAAGGGGCAGCGCCGGCGACGCCCTCGCCAGACACCTCGCCCGAATGGCGTGCTTCCAGCGGTGGCCGCATAGCTGGCTGCCCCCAGAAAACGACGTCGCACGGCGGCGCCGCTCATGCCGCTGAAGCTGCCGGCGCTGCCGGCGCCCCTGAAGCTGGCGCGGCGGGCCGCGCGCCCCCCGCTGCCGCCCGACGGCGCGGCGACACAATCACTGGAACCGTCGGCGCTGCAGAGGCTTGCGCACGGCCCATGAGGTCGGCCATCTCCTGTCGCTGTCGTCGCAGTTCGGCTTCGCGCAGCGAGGGAGAGGACGAGGACGACGGCGCCCCTGCCCAAGTTGGCCAATGCCGGCGGCCAGCGGGTTGCCGCGAGCCGTCCGACGCAGACGTCGGAGCAGCCGCCGGCGCAGACGGCCGCCGCGCGGACGCCGCTGGAATTGGCCGTCCGCCATGCCGGGGGCCAGAGCTCCACAATGGATGACCATTCGCGGCGCCCCCAGCCATAGGCCGAAACGTCCCAGGGGTGGCCCAAGTCACCCAGGCCGCGCGCGCACCTGCACGGGCCGCTGCTCGGTCGACCCCAGCGGCCCGCGCTGCCCCAGGAGAGCAAGCGGCGAGGACGATGGCGCCGATGGCGGCGCTGGGGCGCAGTCGCCGAAGAAGAGAGCGCGCCCTCGTCGGCGGCGCCGGGGGCGGTCGCGCACGCAGTGCTCCTCGGAGTCGCCCTCGCGGCACTTGAGTCGCACCCCGCCCGGCCCCGCGGGTTCGGCGGCGCGAACCCACGCCCGCGGCCCTGAACATCCCTGCCCCCGCGCCCCTGCCCTTCCCGAAGCCGGCGAAGGTCTCCCAGAAATCGTCCTGGGGCAGGGCGTGTAGGAAAGCGCGGCAGCTTCTACCCTCACCCTTGCCCTTCCGTTCGATAACCCCAACCTCGGCGCGCGGGCCAGCGGCTGAAGCTGCGCCCAGGAGAGGCGCGCACCACGCCCACGGGGACGTCGCGCAGCTCGGGGTCGTCGGCGGACATCTCCTCGCCGAATGAGCTGGCGGCGTCGGCGTCGGGCACGCCGCCGCGCCGGCGCCGGGCGCGCCCCCCGCGCTGGCGGCGCCGCGCTAGAGGCGCAGCCTCCAGACACGGCCTCGGCCGGCACGGGGGGGCTCGGCGCCGACCCCGGCGCGGCGGGGCCCGCGCTGTCCGGCGACCCCTCCACCACGCGCCAAAAGCGTCTCAGCTGCCCCGCCACGCGGGTGAGCTTTTGAGCGTTCGCGGGGCAGCACAAGGTGCAGCGCAATAGGAACGCGGCGAGTTGGGCGTTCGACGCGCCGACGGCGCGCTGCAGGAGGAAGCTGAGCCCATCGTTGCCGATCATGATTTGACCAGCCAGCTGCGCCTTGTCGCGGAAGACGTCGAACCTCGCCAGGAGGTCGTCGACGCGCCGCTGCGGCAGTCGACGAAGTTCGTCAGAGCCAATACTACGGAGGCGCGCTCCTCCTCGCCCAGCCGGCTCCGTCGTGCGGCCAAGCTGTGAATTGGAAAAGTCATCGGTGACACTGGGTTGCCGTTGACGAGGCCTCTGTGGGTCAGGGAAGCCCGCGGCCATTCGCCCACGCACTCGCGCGCCGTGCCAAGAGGCGCAACGAGACGTAGGCCACCTGGCGAAACTCGTCGGGGTCCGAATTCGCCACTGACCAGATCATCACCTCGCGCACCCAATTCTGAAAAGACACGCAAGCCTGGTGCTCGGGCCCCGAGGTGCGGAGGTGTCACGCGTTGCCGCTGCCACGACCTGCGCCCATGGAGGCGACACTGCTTGCGATGGCACACACGGCGACTCTGATGGCCTTCCATCCAGAGTGTAGATCCCTCCACCAGTCGCGGAGGCGCCGGAGGCCAGGGATCCTCAAGCGGCGTTGCACGAGTCGCCGAGGATACTTGTCTTGGATGCATTTACCCTCGTCAGCGCCTTGGGCGTATGTTAATGTCGCGTCACTGTAATGTTCACAATGCTCACAAACGTCCCGCGACACGTTTGTACGTCGTGTGGCCACTGCACTGAGCACCACCATGTACAAGATCGTCTGGAGGAGCGCGCATCGGGATCCCGTCTTGCCCGGCTGGCGGGTCTGAGCGGGTAAAGCGAAGGGTCGGGCCCCGAGGCGCGGTGCCTCGGAATGATGGCGCCCCGGTCGCCATGACCTCCACTAGGTTACCTCGGGGCGCTGAGAACGCAACTCCCATGCCCCCCAATGCATCCCCGCTCGGCACCGGCGGCACAGTCGCCGGATGCCTAACCTCCGTTTGCTTCGCCCAAGGCCTCCGAAACACAGCCCCAAGAAGCTCGGGGCCTTATTCTGACACCGCAGATGTGAACTTGTGTCGACCAACTCTCCAACACCTGAGGCTCCCCCCCCTTGGGCGGGGGCGCTGACAGTTCGGGGTCCGCGCGCTGCCCGGACACAGTCCGAGCATGCCCGGGATGGGTCGCAGAGCGGTCCTTGTACTCTTGATGATGTTTCCTTGATGAAATACTGTTGCGCACGCTCTCCGTCACTTGTCCTGGCGGATGGGCGGATGCCCCAACGGACTCGAGGAGTCAGTATCCTGCCACAGTGAGCGGGAAAGGCGCACGAAGGCGATGATGTTGCAGGCGGATGTAAAGCGGGATGTAGAGCGTCATGTAAAGAAGCATGTAGAGCGACACGTAAAGCGGCACGACGTAGTGTTTTTTCGGATGGGCTGCTCAAGCCTGACGAACCCACGAGTGACGTTTCCAGCAGGTGTCGCGATGTAGAGCGACGGAGGGTGGGAGCCATGGCCATCGAAGCGAAGCGGGGCGGGGCGGCCGTGGTAGTGCAGCAGGAACAAACCTGCTCGTGAAAACGGTTGTCCGTAACTGGACGCATAGCGTGTAGAGCGAATATGTGTATGTTAAGCGGGCACGGTACATGATCCGTGATATACACTGCAGCAACAGCAAGAACAGGGTGAGAAGCAGGCAAAACAGGAAGACCTACTCTTCAAGTTGACTTAAGAGGAGGAGGCGGAAGAGGAGAAGGAGTAGAAGGAGGAGGAGCGGAAAAAGGAGGACGAGGAGGAGGACGACGAGGAAGTACCGTCGATTTGGCACGGTCGACCTGCCAATCAGGGCCGACTGCACGTATAGATATAGTCGCCCGGCACGGGCGGGGCGCCTGGGAGAGCTCGGGCCACGTGAGCTCCCGCCCCAGGAGCAGGCCGCCAGCCCGGGGGCGCCCGCAGCAGGCCACGCCTGTGCGGGGCCCGCGGCGCGCGATGACGACGACGACGACGACGACGACGACGACGACGACGACGACCACGACGACCACGACGACGGCGGCGACGACGACCACGACGACGACGACGAGGACGGCGAGGACGACGACGACGGCGAGGATGACGACGACGGCGACGACGACGACGATGACAACGACCACGAAAACGACGACGACGACGACGACGACGACGACCGCGACGACGACGACGACCACGACGACGACGACGACGACGACGACGACGACGACAACGACGACGGCGGCGGAGGCGGCGACGACGACGACGAAGACGACGAAGACGGCGGCGGCGATGCTGACGAAGACCGCAAAGACGACTGCGCTGGGAAGACGGCGGCGGCGTGGCCAAGGATTCGACCCGTCTCCTGTGCCGCGAGACCGCTCCTGCCCTCGCTTCTGCACCGGCATGCTCATGCCGAGCATCGCTTCACACTCGACACTCCGTAGCCGCAGCCGTCCAGGCGCGAAGCGCGCCCTCTTCTGAAGAAGTCCCAAAGCCTGACGCGGAGGGATCCCAGTTCGGGCTCGCGAGGGGCGACGACGGAGACCATCACCGCCGCGGGCAGCGAGGGGCGAGGGGCGAGGAGCGAGGGTGGGGGGAGGAGGAGGGAGCGGGGGATGGACTGGGAAGAGGGGGGACGAGGAAGAAGAGGAGGAGAGAGGGAGAGAAGAGGGAGGGGAGAGAAGGCACGCATTCTGCACTCCAGCTACGATACGGCAAATGTGTGACTGCATACATGTTGTTTCTCCTCATCTGTTGGTCTCCCTGGATCCTGCCGAACTCGTACATGTTCCCCAGCCCGTTCTCCACCTTGACCTTCCTCCCCCACCTCCTCATTCACGTCCTCCTCCATAGATCCCCTCATTTGTCCATCACCTTCTGCAGTTGGGCTCACGGGAATAAGGAAAATCGGCCCTTCTAGGCCCCCTCACTGCAAAATGTCGTCCCCTTGCGCCGGGAGTGGGATGCATTTGGCGCTGCCTCTCCGCCGTGTGGATATCGCCCTCCCGGCGTCGAGAGCAGGCACTCAGGAGCCTTCCCCTTCTGGCGCAGGGGGACGATTGAGCATGGAGGAGGGAAGAGGAAGACGGGGAGGCGGGGAGAACCGAGAACACAGGAAGAGGCAGGAAGGGGTATATGGAGGATGGGTGAGGCAGGGGATGGTGAGGAGGAGAGAGGAATGAGGATGGGGGCAGGAGTAGGAAGAGAAGGTAGGAGGAAGTAAGCAGGAAGGAGGAGGAGCACGAGTGAGGGGAAGGGGGGACGCGGATTTCAGAAGATTCATAGAAAATTAGGGGAGGATGGCATTATGGGGATCTCCGCCGCCGTCTTTACTCTTCTCGTCGCCATGCTCCGTCCCCCTCCGTTGTTATTCCTTCTCATCCCGCTCCCTCCACCTGCCCCTCCCTTCTCGAGGCCGGGCTGTTATGGGAGTCCCCTCGGCCGCACAGGCCGTGTCAAAGTTGCGTTTCGGACGGTAAAAAATCGTTCGCCCTCTTGGGAGCGTTGCTGTTCACATATGCATGTGAATATACGCTTATACTTCAAATAAATATACAAGAAGAAGTATACATGTGGAATGCACTAGGCATTGCCTCCCCCCTCCACCCACCCCCACCCCCCCACGCCATCTTTTCCCCACCTCCCTCCCTCCTCCTGCCATACGCATCCAATAATGATATGATAGAAATACAGTATGAATTCCCCGCGCCCTCCCCCTCTCTCCCTCCTCCCCAAATAGGAACGCAATAAGGACACAATAAGAATTCATCCAATCCTCTGCCCCTCCTCCAATCGAGCCCTATTGTGGTCCTATTGCAGGAGGAAGGAGGGGGGAGAGGGTGCGAAGCTATCCGATGCGAACTCCTCAATACCTCCTTCCCCCCCCCATCTTATAAGAATACACATTCCTATACTGTGCCTCTGGCTGCATTCCTATTGGAGGAGGAGGAGGAGGAGGAGGAGGAGGAAGAGGGAAGCGGAGGGATGGAGGGATGGGGGGGGACAGAGGGTGGAGGTGAATTGCCGTTGCATTCCTTTCGTATTCGCATTGTATTTCTATCGGAGGAAGGGCGGGGGAGGAGGGGGGAGGAAATTCCGATTGCATTTCTAATGGGTTCCTATTGCATTCATATTGGAGAAATACGGAGGGAAGGAGGGAGGCAAGGAGGGGGCGGGGATTTTCTATTGTAGTATTAGCTGTCGTGTTGTACTCCTACTGTACGCATTTCTAATGGGGGAGGGGGACGGGAGGGGGGAAATGTCAAAATTGCATTAGTGATGCGTTCTTGTTGAATCCCTATTAGAGGAGGAGGAGGAGGAGGAGGAAGGGAACAGGGGCGGGGGGTGGAATGCGTTCTGTATATCGATTGCTTTCCCATTGTATTCCCGTTGTGCTCACGTTGGAGGTGGAACGAGGGAGGGGGCGCAATTCTTACTGCAGTATCAGTGCACCCCCAATGCGTTCATGTTGGATTCCGATTGGCGGGGAAGGAAAGGAGTGGGGCGGAATATGGATGATAGAGGAATGGGGAAAGTCGGAGAAGGGACGGGGGCGGAGGAAGGAGAGAAGAGAGATGAGGGAAGCCGAGGGGAGGAGAAAGGGGAGGACGCTGAAAGGGAGTCGGAGGAGGGATTCGGATGACGATTATGACGAGGGGGAATAGAGGGAGCGACGACGAGGATCGTCGACAAAAGCAATCAATATGTAAATCTGATACACAAGGAGTCAATACATGGTACATGGAGATCCCTCCACGAAAGCGAATGAATTGGTGGAACATACTCCACCAAATAGTAAGATATTAAACTTATCCACACAAAAGAATCAATGTTGAACAGGCCCTCCACCAAATCACTCAATGCGTGGAGGATCTTACGTTCCCTCCCGCATCTCCTCCCTCCTTCCCTCTGGGCCTTGGGGAAACTGAAAATACGCATTCATGTTGTGTCGCCTAAGTAGTGTGTTCCTACTGGAGGAGGTGGAGGAGGAGGGAGGCGGGGGGATGGAGGGATGAAGGGGGGGGGATTGACGTTGCATTACCATTGCCTTCGCATTGCATTGTTATTAGAGGAAGGGGGGGAGAGAGGAGATCCACCTTACATTCCTAATGGGTTCCGACTGCATGTTGTATTCCCATCGGAAGAGCACGGGGGGAAGGGGGGAGGCAATGAATGGGGGGGGACCTTCCGTGGAGGATGACGGAAGGAGGGGGGGGAATTGAAATTTCATATCGTAGTATTATATAGTGTTCGTGTTGTATTCCTATTGTATGTCTATTGGGGGGGGACATGGGAGGGGGGAATTACATCAAAATTGCATGATTGCTGCCTTCTTGTTGAATCCCAGCTGTAGGAGGAGGACGAGGAAAGGAGCAGGGGCGGGGGAAGGAATTAATTCGGTATCCAGGCTGTTTTCCCAGTGGATTCCCGTTGTGCTCCAAGTCGAAATGGAGCGAGGGAGAGGGGCGCAATTCTTACTGCATTATCAGTGCACCCCCAATGCGTTCATGTTGGATTCCGATTGGCGGGGAGGGAAAGGAGCGGGGCGGAATATGGATGATAGAGGAATGGGGAAAGTCGGAGAAGGGACGGGGGCGGAGGAAGGAGAGAAGAGAGATGAGGGAAGCCGAGGGGAGGAGAAAGGGGAGGACGCTGAAAGGGAGTCGGAGGAGGGATTCGGATGACGATGATGACGAGGGAGAATAGAGGGAGCGACGACGAGGATCGTCGACAAAAGCAATCAATATGTAAATCTGACACACAAGAAGTCAATTCATGGTACATGGAGATCCCTCCACAAAAGGGAAGGACTTTGCGGGGTATACTCCACAAAATAGTTCGATATGTAACTTATCCACGCAAAAGAATCAATGTTGAAAAGGCCCTCCACCAAATCACTCAATGCGTGGAGGATTCAACGTTCCCTCCAGCCCCTCCTCCCTTCTTCCCTCTGGGCGTGGGGAAACGGAGGAGGAAGGATGAGAATGGCAAAGCAAAATGGTCGTGTTGTTTTGGTGGTGGTGGGGGGGGAGAGGTCCAGCTGGCCACTGGCAGATCCCCTCCTCCCACGTCCTCGCAAAATCCAAGATCAAACAAAAAATAAAACCTGGCAGACCTCCTCTGGCAGATCCCCTCCTCCCCCGTCCTCTCCCCGTCCCCCGTCTATTGGAATACAATAAGAATCGATTAGGGGGGAGGAGGGTGGCGGCCTTGCACATTGACTCCATGTGCGGCGGCCTTGCAAAGGGATTCCTTTGGCGGCGGCCTTAGAAAGGGATTCCGTTGGTGGCGACCTTACAAACGGATTCTGCCAGAGGGGGTCTGCCAAATTTCTCAAAATTCTTCAATATTTTTAATGTTATAAAAAATTGAATCGGAAAACGAGGTTTCGCTTGAGACTCCCTCCAAACTTTTGAAATCCATTGGGTTTGGTCCACCTGGGATTATGAAGGAGTCTCAAGCGAAACTGTAATTTTCTTGTGCAATCAATCGAATAAAAAACCATGAAAAAGCTGGTTTGGCTTGAGACCCCCTCCGAATTGTACGCGGGCCATGCCCGATGGATTTAAAAAGTTCGGAGGGAGTCTCAAGCAAAATCTTGTTTCCCGTTTTGTATACTAAAAAAAATGGCAGACCTCCTCTGGCAGATCCCCTCCCCTCTCCCCTGCCCCCCTCCTCCTCCAATCGGATACCATAGAAATCGATTAGGGGTGTAGGGGAGGAGGGAGGGGCGGCGGCTTTGCAGATTGATTCCTTTGTGGCGGCCTCACACAGGGATTCCTTTTGTGGCGGCCTTACAGAGAGATTCCTTTTGAGGCAGTTTCTCTCTCTCTCTCTCTCTTTTTCTCACTCTCACGGTGGATGGATGGCGCATCTT